ATAGCTCCTCTCTTCCCTACAATATCACTCAGTTTGTCTCATGTGGCATAACTTGTCTTTCTCGAACCTCTTCTTGTCATCACCTTGTTCAATCTTTACTACAACACAACCAAATAACTCAGGACAAAAAAAACTTGGCCCCAATGCACAGCCTGGGGAATAAGCTTAGATAGTTACAGAGCTAGACGAAGGTCAGGTGTTATCAATGATGAGACAAGAATTAGACCTTAAGTCTTTTTTTTTTTTTAGGAAAGGAGAATATTATTAGAGCCACCACTTCATATAACAGTGTATCTCTTCCAGAATGGCTGTTGGTATAACATTATCATCTTCAACCTGAAATCATGCAGAAATGGAGACAACAAAAAGAGAAAAATAGAAATACCAATCTCGAAACAATGAGAGTCCATGAACCTTGGCCTTACTCCTCCTTGTCCAGGGCTTTCTCCTCAACTGCATATTTTGTCCTATTCATGGTTCAGCTAGGGCTTCTAGGGAAGGTCCTGGCCCCTACCCACATTATTCCAGCAGCATTTGACTAGTCTCCCTGCATCAATGAACTCCCACACAGCTCTCTGAGAGCCGTCTTTCCAACACCCTTCTTACAGCATGCCATGCTACAGCGAATGTTGAACAATGTCCAAAGCCACAGAGTGAACAGGCAAGACATCAAGCTGAGGCTCCACCCTCCTGGTGCTGGCTGGAAACACTCACTGTGGCTCCAGGAATCTCAGCCTGATGTTGATGTTCAGTCAGAGGGCCATAGGCAGAGGTCCTGCCTGCGCACCTGGTAGCTTTCTGCTTTGAGAAAGTCTCTGAGGGGCCTCCCTGTGCCCTAGGGGTCACATCTCAGTGCTATCATGCTTTCACAGCTGAGGCCAGCCTGAGCTCAATCCCTGGCCAGGGAACCACCCACATGGCATAGTAGACCTCTCCTGTCTCGCCCACTGCTCCCCTCAGCAATGTATTTCAGTAGATGCACCTATTCTGCTCCCCACTCTGTCTCTGGTGAATCCTCTCACCCCTCATACCTCTGGCCTACACCCCAGCTCTCTATAAATAAATAAATAAATAGACAGACAGACGGATAGATAGGTAGATAGATAGATAGATAGATATAGATAGGTAATTTAAAAAAAAAAAAAAAGAGAGAGTGAGAGAAAGTCTCTGACCCTTTCCTAACAGCCCAGAGATGAGAGACAGCATGTACTATATTCACCCTCCCATGGATGGGCCCAAAAGGACCTGGCACAGGATCTGGGTGGGCCATTTGTAAGACCTGTCAGAAAAGCACAGGAAAAGAGACAACCCCATGTGGGAATAAACAAGACATAGAACTAAAAAGCCAAAGAAAGTCTGAATCCAAAATCCTAGCATATGAATTAATAAACTTGATTTATTGCTCAACTGATTGGTTTATTCATCAGGGCAACATGGGCTGATTGAGGATTCCCAAGTGACAGGTACTGTGCTAGGCACTGCCCAGCAGTAAGCTGGACAGCATGGTGCTCACCACCAGGGAGACTCTGGTCCTCAATAGCAGAATGTCAGAAGAGGCCTATTCCATTAGAACCAAGTGTTTTAGGGACAGAAAAGAACATAGTAATTGCAGAAAATAAGGCAAGCAGCAGAGCCTTGTGGCTGCTTTGGGGTCATGATGCTGTAAACAATAGCACCTTGAAATGGCCTGGGGGTACAATAACTGAGGAAGGGTACAAGTCACCTTTGTCTTGTGTGGGGAAAGAATGACACCTTTACAATGGTTTCAAATTAACCTCATCGTAAAAAATATTGAAGGAAACGTTTGCAGGGAGCAGGACTCCTTGTGAATAACAACTTCTCCAAGAGGACTCTGTAGAATCACTGCAACCTAATTCCAGTTTAGCCCACAGGCAGACAATGGTAGTTAGCACTGTGTTCTGTTTAGAAAACAGAGAACTTGGAATCTAAATGTTTCTCAAGTCCACGACAAGCTAGACACCTTGGCCACATAACTAGACATCTCAGTCTTAAACTCCACCTGTAAAATGGGTATGTTCACAACAAAATCCTTGGGAGTCCACTATGTAGATTCTGTCATTTCCCTGCATTACCTGATCTGGTCCACAATTTAATGCTATGAAGTAGGTCCTATGCAGCCATGACATTTCACAGTAGGAAAATAACACATGAAAAAGCCCAGCAGGTCACAGTCGCTACTAAGTGGAAGAGATGAGACTTGAGCTTCATAGCCTGAGTTCTTCACCCTAAGAATAATAACCGCTTCCCTGCGATGAAGTGAGGAATAATGAAATTGCATACATGAAAGTATTTTTAAAAATCACAGAGTGCCACATGCATGTGAGGGGGGCTATTATTCCTTCCCTCCCTGGGCATGAATAGACTTCCAATAAGCCAAGGAAACTCCATTTAAATCCTACTCTCCCTTTATTCTTCAACTGTTACAGTAAAATGAGGACCTGGGGATTTTGGGAAACAGTCAGGAGCCAAGGAACCAGCTATGGAGATATGAAATGGGAGAGAATGAACCATGGGGCCTCATTGTGCACACAATTTGTGAGCTGATGTGCAGACTATTTGCTGGGACCAATTACTCTCATCTTAATTAATGAACACACAACCCACAATCTGTCTGAGAAATGCGAAAAAATATGGCACATGTTTGGAGGTTGTCGTGTGCCAGCCCCCAGATCTGGAAGCACCTTCCTCAAACTGCTGGGCTGGGAATCACCATGGAGACCACATTTGAGCAATTGAGATGACGCTGACATTTGGTTCACACCAACCTCTCTGAAATGCACGGGTGGAATGTCTGCTGTGTGGCTGGCACTGGGCTAGGCAGTGTTCCCTTGTAAGAGGAAAGGCAGGTCTCTGCCCTAAGGGGTAAGGAAGGGAAGATGCTCGGAAGCTGACGGCCTCCAGAGAGCTCAGCAGAGTGCCTGGCACTGCAGGGCCTAAGCTAGGTCGGGGACTTGCTTTCTCATCAGTGAGCAGGAGCTAGTGCTGATGCCAACAGATGCACTCATTGAGTGTGCCTGCTCTGAGCTGGGCACTGTGGTAATGAAGCAATCTGTGTAGTTATTATATCATTTAATCCTCACACTGATCCCATGGCTGAATTGATTATTCATTGCCAAGGTGTGTTGCAATGAGTTCTTCATTGTGCTTTGTTACTCTGTGCTTTGTGTGCGTGGCTCAACTGCTGATAGGGACCAGCATTTAAGCGCTTGTGCAAGATCGCTGGCTGGTAGGTGTCACCGTTGGGATCTGAACCTAGGATGTTTAGCTGCAAGGGCTGGCTGAGCTTTAGCATTATATTAGACTATATTCATTTACCTGGAATCTGTTGAATGCCTTTGAGGCAGACAAGAATCTTATATTTTAGTAAAGGAAACTGGGGGTAGGGAAGACAAACTATAAATAAATCCAGTTCATGCCAGACACTGGTTTGTGCTATAAAGGTGTACAGGCTGCATTTATATCAAGAGTGTAAGTGGGGTAAAGCAGTCCCCTTCCAGCTCAGAGGGAGCAGTGGGCACAGTCACAGGTTGGGGGGTTTCTCCCTGAGGGCTGCTCTCAGACATAGTGTGCAGGCTGTTTCTTAAATGTCTAGGGCTCTTGGGGTCCCTACCTGAAGGAGGGACAGGATGCAGAGACAGGATGCAGACGTTGCCAGAGGAAGACATCCCACTGCAGACCAACCCAGAAGACAAGCTTGGCTAACCCCAAGGGGGTCCTGGAAATAGAACCACCTTGAGCTGTTGTCTGACTTGGGTGAGATGGCCCAGGCTTTATCCCTCCATCCAAGTGATTGGCTGCCATGGCCCGGGAGGGGCTGGCCATGGGAGAGGCAGTTCTCTGCAGCTCAGGCAAATCCTGAAGGCACCGGTCTGCAAAAGTTGTCTGCCCACTGCAGTCCCTGCAGCAGGATCAATAAGTCCCCCTATGAAGGGGGGTCCTGAGGCCCCTCACAGAGTGCTCCACAAGGGGTAGGGAGGGGACTTTCTCAGGCTAAATCCTGAACTAGATAGAGTAGAGCAAGTGATGAGGGAGACGAAAAGCTACCCAAGTAGGGGACAGCGCTTCCTGTAGGGGAAAAAAGGCAGAGCCTCAGAACCAGAAAGAAATAACATGAGCCTCTGTGAGGCAGAAAAGGCAGTAGGTGCCATTTTGAACACACACACAGGGGCACTCTGAGCAGTGGAGTCGTTCAGCCTGACCCTGGCATTGGGTTGTGAAAACAGATTCATTTCTTAGCCTGAAAACCCTCAGAAAGCTGTTTTTAAATATGATAATGATCTTATGGATTTAATTAACATAATCTCACTGGAATGGAACGAAAGGGTTGGAATATGAATAAATATAGATGATTGTTGAATAGTAGAAGTGTTTGGGGTATTTATTCCTGTTTGGTGACATTTTTATGACCAGAAATAGCACATAGGAACTTAACTCTTGTTTATATCAATTAGCTTGTTGTACATCATTTTGTTTGAATTTTTGCAATTTTCCAAGGACCTACCAGTGATGTTAAGTCGGGACTTGCTGTTTTTATATTACCTTATTAATATCATCACAAAAGTGGTCAGAGAGGTTAGGAGTGTGGACTCTGTGGCTAATGCCCTGAATAAGATCCCAGCCATCTTATTTGCTAGCTGGGCTGTGCCTCAACTGCCCTCTCTGTAAAATGGGTATGTAATGAAATCTCCGTACTCATGGGCTATAGTGAGAATAAAAAAAAAAAAAATCGGACAGAAAATTATTTAGGACAATGCCAGGTACATAATAAACTTCATCTCAACTGAGGTCATATATTACTATAATAAAGCAAGAAGAATACAAAGACAGATTGAACGTGAAGAAGTCACCAGGACAACAGCACGATTCTCAAGCATTTCAGGTAGGCACAACTAGGAGAGGGACATGGTTTCTACTGTGAGATTTTAGAGGGCAGAACCAGAATTCAAGGGGTAGGCCAGGGCAGGCTGGTCTTGGCTCACCAGATGAGATGCCAAATAGGACAGCAAGTGTCTCATCTTTGAAAGTATGCACACAGATGCTGGCCAGCTGAGGGTACGGTAATAGAAGCTGGGTGAAGGCTCTGGTAGAAACCCTCATTGAAGACTCCATGTCTGTAAGATTCTGAGCCAGTAAAATTCTCTAATGCTGTCAAATTCCATGCAGGAGTGTTTTCTTTCTTTCATTCAGCCATATTTAGAAAAAAGGGACATATTCATTCACCACTTGTCAAGAACACTGAAAGCTTAAAGATGTCTGCACAGATTTCTGGAACATTCTAGAAGCTCAAAAGGAACATTGTGGGTTAAAATCACTAAAATTCTCTGACTCATGGGTTCAATATTCTTTGATACTGAGCTGTATGTGAGTGGGCTGAGGGCACTTCCCAGGTGATAATACTGTTACTCCTTCTTGGTATTACACATCCTACGACAATCTCCTTGGGCTTTACCTTTACCATCAACCTTTGCCCTGTCACCAGGGGCTGGATAAGTGGGAGTTCATCTTTGCCATATTACAAGAGCACACAAATATATGTTGAAGGAGGTTATTCTGGCAGGAGATGGAGGGAGAAAGCTACATGAGTACCCTCACATATAATACATGTAATATTCCATGATAGATATAATGCAGCTGCTCATTCCATGGAGACTTCAACATAGCCCTGGACATAATCTTCACTTTTTCATCCATTTATTAATTCATCCAATAAGTATTTATTGAGCATTTACTCTATTTCTATTTATCATACTCTTGCTGTGTATCAGTCCTTATTTGAGGTGCCCATCAAGCTCACCCTCTTAACTTTATACTTGAGGAAATAGATACAAAGTGACTTGTCCACAGCTTCCATCCAGGGCACTATCTTTTAATATTATTCACTGCCCTGATTTGTAAAGATAAATAATTCTATCCAACATCACTGGCATCATGACACTAATAATGATTACTAGTACTTTACAGTTTACCAGGAACCTATCCATAACCAGTCTGAGGAATGTGGGGCAATTATCCCAGTTTTAAAAAGAAATATACTCAGATTCAGTTGGATAATTAGCAAGTCCCAATTCACAAGGGCCGTACATGGAAAAGAAAGTTTGCTCAGAAAATACCACCTTGAATTCCTGAATGCTCCTCAGCATAGTGTACCTAGTAGCAATAATTTGGGTCTTATGTAATTCATCCATTTTTTCATTTGTTCTTTCCAAGAATCCAATGAGATGAAGAGCATTCTCCCCAGAACTGAGGAAATCAGGGCTCAGAAAGGTTAGTTAACTTATACTAGATACATGCTAGCAAGTGTTTCAGCCAGGACTCAAGTCACATTGATTCTAAAACCAAGGCTTCTTCCATCACCTCCCACCCTAATTACCCAACAAAAAAGCCACATATACAGAGATGGAAAGATGCTGGTCTTGCTCACAGGAATACCCTTTTCCTTCCTTCTGGCCATGCAGGCAGTGGCCCAGAGTTGTTGGGGAAGCAGCACGAAGAGAGAAGCACATGCTTTGCTCACTACTAGGCCAGGCGCTGAGGAACTGAACCATCAGGGAGCTGACACAATTTCAAATGCTTGCTGCCCTAATTACTTGATCATCTATCATCTTGGAGATTAAATTGCATGGGGGTGGGGCCCTTCCACTTGTGTCTCAGCAAAGAAAAGTCAGGTAGAAATGCTTTAGACTCAGTTTCCAGAAGAGAAATCTTCAATGCAATCCATGATTAGTTCCAAATGTTGGTTGAGAAAGAAGTCAGGAAGGGATTGGCATTTGCTGAGTACCTACCATGTGCTAGTATACTGAACAAATAAAACACATACAACATGGATTAGCTCATTTTTTCTCACAACAACTCTGTGAGAGAGGACTTAATATTTGCCATTCATTGATGAGGAACCTGGGGATTACTAGCGCCAGGTTGTGGCCAGATCAAGAAGCTTAAACTCCTTCCTGAAGAAGCCACAGAAAGTTTTATACAGGACAGTGACATGGTTGCATTCTAGAAAATCATTCTGCCCCTGTGAAGTGAATGCCCTTGAGAAAGCAAAGATCAGAGGCAAAGGGGCCTAAAAGCATGTATGTGTGACATAATGAAGACCTGTCACCAGGATACGCCAATGAGGGGCAGCTAGATTTGTGACTCATCAGGATGCTGAACCCACATCCTAGCTCAAAGACCAGCTAGAAGCCAAGAAGCAGAAAAGGAGCGAGAAGGAGAGAAAAATCATGGCCAACATACAGGATTTGGGGCTGTGCAGCTAGATGGATGGTACATTCTATTCACTCAGATAGAAATGCATGCTTAATGTCAGAGATGATGATATAAATGTTAGTATGTTGAGACTGTGGGACTTCCGAGTGAGGTTGTCCAGCTTGCAATGAGTCTGGAGCTCCATAGAGAGCCTGGACTATTGGTTATGGAGTAATAGTCAGGTGACAGTTGGTTGGTGAAGACTAATATATTGATGGAAGTGTTATGAGAGGGGGAGAGTGAGATATATGAGTGGGCAGTAGAACAGAGCTCTGGGACACTAAGAAGGACCCCAAAAGGCATAGCAAGTATGGCAGCAAAGACAGGAAGAAACAAGGAAAATTGCATTTGCTTATAAAAGTTCAAGTCTATTGCTAGGGACATCATTAGAAATTAAGGCAGCTATATCTCTCTTGTAATCTGTATTATTCCGGGAAAATACACAGTACAGATGGGAAGAGAGATGGAGTCCATGTGAGAAAGGATTCAGAACTCTGTCTAGATCAAAGGAATAGGAGAAGATTGTGGAATCCCAGAGATGGAGCAGATGCTCGTCTGCTAGAGAAGATTGTAACGGACTGTGGCTGTGACTTTTCTCCCTGAGCTTGTGCTGAGAAAAGCAGGATGGTCTCTCTTGACATGACATTGGTGGATGAACACACGGAGAATAATGCTGGTAACAAGGCAAGTTTTACACAGGGCTTGTAATTCATGACATACCTATGACTTTGCCAGCAAAACTCCAGAGACAGGTATCTTTCCACTACCCTATCCTTCAAAAGTAGGAATGACGGAGAAATTCACAGAAATCTACAGGATCATAAGATCTCAGAACTGGAATGAATTTTTTCTATCATAAATGAATGCATTAATTTGCTGGCTAATTCATTCACTTTTAAATAAATTTATCGAGGACTTAATATTTTCAGGCACTATTTGTGGCACAGAGGGTACAACAAAGAACACAACAGACTTTAATTCCTGCTCTCGTGGAACTTATATTCTAGTGGGAACATGAAAAAATAAAAGTATTAGTAAGTAAAAGACAATATGTTACATCTGTCCTTGCCTGTGGCAACTGCAGTTACTAATGGATGGATACATATTTGTCAAGTCTGTAGTCTTGCTTAACATCAAGAGGAGGACTGTCCACCGTTTATAAGACTATCATCTTTTATTTATTGAAATGGAGATAGCATTTCACTCCTTAGCAGAAAAAAAATCCATATTTATCTATCTCTAACTACCTAGCTTGCTATCTAGCAACGTCTAATATGTTAGATGTTGAAAAATTCTCTGAAGAAAAGAAAGGCAGGAGGGGCTAGTGAATGCTGGGGGTTGGCAATTTTAACTGGATTCATCATCACAAACTCTTTTTGTAGCACTATCAGTGAGTAGTCCTCCCTCCCTCCATTTGTTGTCATACCCATTAGTTAATTTGATTCTTATTAAAAACATAAGAAAGGCAAATTTCATCAGTGGCTCCAGAGCTAATTTATTTTAAAGACTTATTTCTGGGCTGGACATGGTGCTGATTGGTTCACAAGCCCTATCTTGGTTTATCTTTATGCCAATATGCAGGGACTTATTATCCCTGAACCATTTTGAAGGGAAATAATACAACCCTAGCTCTCTCAGCCTTGGACTGGAGGTGCAGCCCTGCCATCTGTCCAGTGTGAGGAGGGGTGCTTAACAGCTCCAGACCTTAACTCCCTCATGGGAAAAAGGGGAATGAGGAAACCTACCTTGTGGATATGCTGTTAGAATGAAAAGACATGAGTATGAAAAAAATAGGAGCAAAACCAGACAGATCTATCTGGTTCCAAAGCACAATCCTTTAAGCAGAAACTCTTCTGACTCGTTTTTTGAGCTGAGGAAATTGCTAAGCAGTAGTGATTATGGTAATAATAAGATTACAGCATTAATATGATGGTGTAGAATATCACTGACTCAGCAGCCCAGGCCATCAATTTGGAAAAGAACGATGATATTCTTTATAGTTCTTACACCTTGAATTTCTGTCAGAACTGAAACCAAAAGGAAAGCAAGACTGTATTACCCATAACATCAATTTTCTCCTGGTTTCTCATCCATTTATTTTCTTCCAAATAGATATCAGGGTGTGTGCCCGTGTATGCAAGCAACTTGGCCATGATCAAAGTCACTGACATGTTCACAGAGCTTCTAAGATGGAGCATAATCCAAGTGCATCACACACAATGACTCATTTAATTCTCAGCAATAGTTTTAATGGGATAGTTACTCTTACTATTATACCTATTTTATAATGAGGAAACTGAAGCACAGAGAGGGTCAAGGGACTTGGCCACCATGTGGTGACAAAGTGGTGGGAATCAGTGTGTGATCCCAAGCATCCCCATGTCATATTCTACACTCCTGTCCTATATTATTTTTTTAAGATTTATTTATTTATGCATGCAAGAGCTGGGGTATAGCCCAGAGGGGCCAGGGAGTGAGAGGATACACCAGAGACAGAGTGGGGAGCAGAATAGGCAGATTGACTGAAATACACTGCTGAGGGGAGCAACAGGAGAGACAGGAGAGGTCAGCTTTGCGATGTGGGTTAGCTCCCTGGTTGGGGATTGAACTCATGCTGCAGTGGCTGCTAATTGCTTCATATAATCACTAAGCTTTCTCCTACTGCCCTCACACATACTGAACTCACTGTCTCTGTCTGGAATACCATTGTTTCTCTCTCCCCTCATTCCACATTCTTACATAATTAAATACAATTTTTTCTCTCAAGATTCAGCTCAGTATCATCTTTCCTAGAAATCCCTGCCTGAACTCACTCACCCCAGTCTCCAAGTGGCTGGCTGCCCATTCTTCTCTGAACTCATATAGCACCTGGTGCTTTTCTATTATCATAGTACATGAAAAGATGCTCCAAATGTCCTGTATTTGATCCCTCTCCAAACTTCTCCCTAGATGTGCTTTTCTTTAAGCCTAAAATATTTTCAGGTAGAATATCTGGATTATACTAGATTCTCTAT